AGTAGCTGGAACTACAGGTGTGTGCCACCACACCCGGCTAATTTTTTGATTTATTGTAGAAACAAGGTCTCGCCAAGTTGCCTGGGCTGGTCTCGAACCCTTGGGCTCAGGCAATTGCCTTTCCCTCCCAAAGTGCTAGAATTACAGGCGTGAGCCACCATGCCAGGCTAGTAGATATTGAGAGTGTAAGTATTAAGAGGTAATGTGTAAAAGGCCTCTAGAACAGTACCTATAATAGAGGTTCCCCAAATTTTTGATTCACAGGGCCCTTAGTTTTTTAGTAATTCTTGCATGACGGCCCCAGGCCAGAAATAATACCTAATAAGTAATTCTGTTTATTAAGTAGTTAGGTTTACGACTGGTGTTTTATGCCTGTAATCCTAGCACTTTGGTAGGTGAAGGCAGAGGATCATTTGAACCCAGAAGTTCAAGACCAGCCTGGGCAGCATAGCAAGACCTCATCTCTATAAAAAACAATCAACTGAGTGTGGTGGCACACACCTGTAGTCCCAGCTATGTGGGAGGTTGAGGCAGAAGGCTCGCTGGAGCCTTGGAATTGGAGCCTGCGGTGAGCCATGATTATGCTACTGCTTTTCAGCCTGGGCAACAAAGTGAGACCCTGACTAAAAGAAAAAAAGTAAAAATGATTTATCACAGGAACAAATAACTGAGTACCACATGTTCTCACTCTTAAGTGGACTTTGAACATTTCATAATACTTTAATAAAAGGATTGGCAGTAGCCAGAAATTGCCGGGGACGGGAGAGGGACGGGGAAGCACATCAATGAGAGTACCTGATCTCAAACCAGGTGAAGTGAGGATCAAAGGGAGGCTCAGACTTTACCTGTACGATGACCACTTGTATGCTTGATCCTGAATTGTACCCTACATTTTAAAAATGACATTAAGAAAGCAATTAGGAGCCGGGCTCGGTGGCTCAGCCTGTAATCCCGCGCCTTTGGGAGGCTGAGGTGAGTGGATTGCCTGAGCCTGCGGGTTCGAGACCCACCTGGGCAGCAAGACCTCATCTCTACAATAAATCAGAAAATCAGCTGGGCATGGTAGCACATGCCTGTAATTGCGGCTACTTGGAAGGCTGAGGCGGAAGGATCGCCGGAGCCCAGCAGGTTGAGACTGCGGTGCCGGGAGCGGCCACTGCACTCCAGTCTGGGCGACAGAGTGAGACTCCAACTCAAAAAAAAGAAAGCCATTAGGTTCAAGCACCTTAACAAGTAGTTCCTGTAGCTTAGTAGTTGAAAAATAATAAACAGAAAATGAGGGAAAATTGCTATATTTGTATTTTCTTTTCTTTTCTTTTTTTTTTGGAGTTTTAGTCTTACTCTGTCGCCCAGGCTGGAGTGCAGTGGCATGCTCACAACCATCACAGCCTCTACCTGCTGGGCTCAGGCAATCCTTCCACCTCAGCCTTCCAGGTAGCTGGAACCACAGGCATGCGCCACTATACCTGGCTGATTTTTTGATTTATTGTAGAGACAAGGTCTTGGCAAGTTGCCCAGGCTGGTCTCGAACCCATGGGCTCAGGCAATCCTCTCACCTCTGCTTCCCAAAGTGCTGGGATTACAGGCATGAGCTACCATGCCCAGCTGTATTTCATTCTTTTTTTTTTTTTTGAGTTGGAGTCTCACTCCGTGTCCCAGGCTGGAGTGCAGTGGCATGCTCACGGCCTTCGCAGCCTCGATCTGCTGGGCTCAGGCGATCTTTCCACTTCAGCCTTCCAAGTAGCTGGAACCACAGGCGCGCACTACTACAACCGGCTAAAAAGGATAACATCTATTACAAGTGGAGATTCTTTTTCTTTTTTGAATTAGAGTCTCGCTCTGTTGCCCAGACTGGAGTGCAGTGGCCACTGTAGCCTCGACCTGCTGGGCTCTGGCAATCCTTCCGCCCCAGCCTTCCAAGTAGCTAGATCTACAGGCACACACTACCACGCCCGGCTAATTTTTCATTTTTTGTGGAGATGAGGTCTCACCAAGTTGCCCAGGTGGGTCTCGAACCTGCATGCTCAGGCAATCCTGAGCCTCACAAAGTGCTGGGATTGCAGGCTGAATCACTGAGCCCAGCCTGTATTTCATTCTTAAATAATCCCAGTTACTTGCCAGTGGTTGTAGTTGTATTCTCATTGAACACTGCACAATGTCTCATACCTGGAATCAGATTGATGCTGCCAATCTCATTTATTGTTCCACACTGGTTATTCTACAGTATTTGCTTTTTATTGGCCCCTAAAAGCCAATTTTGCAAAGGTAAGACAAAAGTGATGTAATGTTGAAACTGAATTACCTCAAGCTAGTGGTCTCTGCAGTGTTTGACAGATGTCAAATATTACTGTGTTGCCTCAGTTTATAATACCCCATGATGTCCTTGTGAGCTTACTGCCAGGTTCCAGGGTATTTGGAAACCTAGGATACATTAAGCAAGCCCTTACTTACTACCTTAAAGCTGTTCTAGTAACTGTTATTGTGTTCTCATGGCGTTTAATAATGTTAATTAAGGCTTCTGATTCTAGATTTGACAATTATTTGGTGATTTTTAGTTATGTCTCTGGTATTATTTGTTAGTGGAGTTTAAATTAAAGTAAAATGGATTTTAATAGCTCAATCTCTATTGATTAAAATCACTGAGTTTAAAAGATTGGGTATTTTATATTTGTCCTATTTTCTGTTTTAGTACCTCGCCAGTAACAGATGTGGCAATTACGTGGACATTGGAGTGTTAGCGTCTGATTTACAAAGAATGTACAGGTAAAGAATGTCAGTTTCCAGATCCTTGTTTTTGTTTTTGTTTTTTTAATCCTCTACTATTCTGAAGGTTTCCATCCTGCTTAATTTTCTAGTATAATTCTGGTATAATATCAATAGCTACAGGCATTAGTTTACTAATCCATTGAATCTTGAACTCAATTCAGCTATGCAAACATTTATTAAGTACTTAATTGTATGCAGTGATTTGTCCTTTTTACTGTAGGGAGTGGCTAGTTCTGTTTTTAAATTGAATTGTGTTTATTTTTTAATTTAATTGTAGAGATGAGATCTCACTGTGTTGCTTGGGTTGATCTTGAACTCTTGAGCCTCAGGCTATCCTCCCACCTTGGCCTTCCAGAGTGCTGGGATTATAGTTGTGAGCCTATTGCACCTGACCTGGAATGGCTACTTTTTTTTTTTTTTTTTTTTTTTGAGTCAAAGTCTCACTCTGTCGGAGTGCAGCAGCATACTCAGGCCTACCACAGCCTTGACCTCCTGGGCTCAGATGATCCTTCCGGCTTAGCCTTCCAAGTAGCTGGGACTATAGGCACATAACACCACACCTAGCTAATTTTTTAATTTAGGTCTCACCAAGTTCATTAGTCTGGTCTCGAACCCCTGGACCACAGGCAGTTCTCCTTTTGCCTCCATCTCCCAAGTTGCTAGGATTATAGCCATGAGCCACTGTGCCTGGGTTTCTTTTTTTTTTTTTTTAACAGATAGTATCTCATTCTGTTGCTCAGTCTCCTCTCGTTCTTTTGTGCAGTGGTATGATCATAGCTCACTGAGGCCTTGAACTACTGGCCTCAAGGGATTCTCCTGCCTCAGCCTTTTGAGTAGCTAGGACTACAGGTTGGTGCCACTGCTCTCAGCTAATTTTTTAAGTTTTTTGTGGAGATGGAGTCTCGCTATGTTGCCCAGATTGGTCTCTAACTCCTAGCATCAAGCAATCCTCTTGTCTTGGTCTCCTGTTGTGGTGGCTTTATAGGCACGAGCTATTACACTTGGCCATGGAATGACTACTTCTTTTTTTTTTTTTAGATTGGAGCAATCCTTTATTTTTACACAGTCCGACAAAGAGACTTCTGGTAAACAATCTTTCTGATAGATAACAGATAATATGAACTCAGCCTCCAGCCGTCAGCAGCTGCTCTGCTCAGGGCCTAGGTTCCCCCCTGCCCAGGTGGTGAGGTGGAGGGGTGTACTTCCCTTCCTTTATGAGCTTATCCCGCTGCTTCTTGATGGCTTTCATACGTGTCATCGTTTTCAGCCGTAGAATACATTCTATAGAATCATCAAATTCTATCTTGCACTCTTTCTCTGCCCGGATACTACCAATTCCATGTGCACATTCAATCCATTCTTTTTCAAAAGCATGGCATCGAGCAGGAATCTTGTAGGGCTGTTCAGCACTTTGGATTGTCAGCCCTCGATCTAAGTTAAGGCCCAGCCTTTTTTGCACATCAAAGAAAGGCATGGCTTTAAGATGGGTTATGAGTTCGCCAAGTGAAGATCAGTGGGCAGAGGGTTCAGCAGAGCAACAGCACGAGCTACAGTCTAAGGTGCTGGTTGTGTCTGAGGATCACTGAAACCCCAGCATGGCTGGAACGCAGCGTGCCTGATTGGAAGAACGAAATGAGCTCAAGAGGCTAGCGGGTTCGAAATCACGCAGAGCCTTCGCTGGCCGCCGCTACAAGACGATCGGAATGACTACTTCTTATCTTGATGTTACTACATTACTTTCTTTCCATCTTCATTAGGAAATTGAAACCATCAGGCATGATTTCCTTTTACTTCCTATCTAGAAATATATCACACATTTAGTCTTCCTACTGAACATTAAATTCTTCTCCTGTAACTTTAGTCTCACCTCTTGCTTCATTAATTATTACTCCCTAATTATAGAAGTATAAGTATTAAGAGATAATGTATAAAAGGCACCTAGAACAGTGCCTAGGATAGAGGTTCCCAAACTTTTTTTGATTCACAGGACCCTTGTATGTTTCAATGTCTCTGTTTTATTTTATTGCTTAGCCTGTGTATTAGCTTGCCAGGGCTGCCATAGCCAAGTTCCCAGACTGGGTGGCTTAAATAACAGAAATTTATTTTCTCACTGTTCTGGAGGCTAGAAGGTCGAAGACAAGTTATCAGCAGGATTGGTTTCTTCTGAGTACCTCCCCAAGGCTTGTAGGTGGTTACCTTCTTTGTAATCTTCACAAGATCTTTTCTCTGTGCATACCTGGCTATGTCCTAATTTCTTCTCAAAAGCACACCAATCATTTTGGATTATAGCTTACCCATATGACCTCATTTTATCTTAATTACTTCTAAAGAACCTATCTCCAAATACAGCCATTTTCTGAGGTAATAGGGGTTAGAACTTCAGTGTATGAATTTGGGGGAGACACAATTCAGCCCATTGTACTGTCTTCTAGCTCTCCAAAATTCATGTTCTCACATGCAGATGCACTCATTCCATTTCAACAGCCCCAAAGTATTAGCTCATTTCAGCATCTACTCTCCGAACTCTTATTTAAATACAATCTAAATCAGGTATGGATGAGACTCAAGATGTGGTTTATCCTGTGGCAGAATTCCATCTGTAAACCCGTGAAACCAGATGAGTTATCAGCATCCAAAATATAGTCATGCACTGCATAACGATGTTTTGGTCAATCATGGACCACCCATAAGATAGTGGTCCTGTAAGATTATAGACCGTGTTTTTACGGGACCTGTTCTATGTTTAGGTATGTTTACATATACGAATTCATTATTTGTCTACTGTATTCAGCATAGTAATAGGTTGTACAGGTTTGGAAGAGCAATAAGCTATACCTATAGCGTAGGTATGTGGTAGGCTGTACCAGCTAGGTTTGTGTAAATAAACGGTGTTGTTCACACAGCTATGAAAATAGCTAATGATGCATTTCTCATAATGGGTCCCCATCATTAAGTGATACACGACTGCGTAATGGGGAGACAGGCATCAGCATAGGATAGGTATTCCCATTCCAAAAGGGAGCGGTTGAAAAGAAGAAAGGGGTCACGAGTCCCACGCAAGTTCAAAACCTAGCAGGGCAAATTTCATTAGGTTTTAAGGCTTGAGAACAATCCTTTTTGGCTCAGTACTCTGCTCTGTGGGCTTCATAGGGTAGTGGTCCTGCCTTCTGGAACCTAAGAGGAGACAACCTTACCCCTAGACCTGTGCCCTCTGGGCCTGTGATGGCAGTAGCAGCCCTGTTGATCTCTGGGCCTCCTTTAGGGTCATGCTAAACTTTTCTTAAAGGATAACTTGTTCATAACTGGATAGTTTTATTGACCTTGTCTCATAAAATCCCAGTAGTCCAACAGCCTTCCTTAATTTTGTCCCATTTCTATCCCTTCAGTACAAGCTGGCAGTGTTTCTATCGCTATAACCTCATCTCTTCTGGCTTCTGCTGAGATGGCTAATTGGATCTATAAAGTGTATGTCTGTAATGTAGCAAATTGTTGTCTAGCGACATCCTTGATATTCTCTCCAGAATATGCTTTATGTTTGAATTTTTTGAGTCGAAATCTCACTTTTGTCACCCGGACTGGAGTGCAGCGGCATGCTCGTGGCTACTGCAGCCTTAACCTGTTGGACTCAGGCAATCCTTCTGCCTCAGCCTTCCAAGTAACTGGAACTACATGTACACACCACCACACCTGGCTAATTTTTTGATTTATTGAAGAGATGAGGTCTTGCCAGGTTGCCCAGGCTGGTCTTGAACCTTTGAGCTCAGGCAATCCTCTCACTTCTGCCTCGCAAAGTGCCCAGCTAGGTGTGAGCCACCGTGCCCAGCTAAGCTGCTTTTCAAAATGACCATTGATTTAGTACAATTTTTGCTTAATATAACTTATTTTATTTTGATATAATCTACATCTAAAAATGGAAAGAACAGTACAAAGAACACCCATTTACTCTTTACCTAGAGTGTCCCTTTATTTGTGCGTACTTGGTATCTGTTTCATAAGAACACACTTTCTTTTACATATTGTAGTTTTTTTGTTTTTGTTTTTGTTTTTTTGCTGCAAAAACCTTTATTTTTATTTGGTCCAGGGTGGTTAAAAAACTGCCCAGTGGCTGGAGGGGGAGGCTCTGGCAGAAGAAGCCCTGATACTTTGAGAGGGGCCCCCCCAGAGGCCGCTGGGCTCCTAGTCGTGCTTGAGGGTGAGCCTTTCAAAGAGATACTCGCCCAACCCAGACTCAGGCTGGGTCAGCCTGCGAAGGTTGGTCAGGTGGTCACCCATCTTCTTGATGAGTCACAGAGATGGGGGTCTGTGGATCCCAGGGCATGAAGGTCCAAAAGGGCTTGGTTCAGGCTCTTCTCTAAGGCCATGGCGGCTTCCATAGCATCCAGGGTTTTACCCCACTCATCTTGAGAGGGCTTCTGGATATCCTGGAAGAGGGCGCGGCTGCCACGCTGGTTTTGTAGTTTATTTTTATCTATCTATTTATTTTGAGTTGGAGTCTCACTCTGTCGCCCAGGCTAGAGTGCAGTGGCACGCTCACAGCCACCACAGCCGCAATCTGCTGGTCTCGGGCAATCCTTCCGCCTCAATCTTCCATGTAGCTGGAACTACAGGCATGTATCACCACGCCCAGCTAATTTTTTTGATTTATTGTAGAGATGAGGTCTCACCAAATTGCCCTGCCTGGTCTCGAACCCGTGGCTCAGGCAATCCTCTCACCTCGGCCTCCCAAAGTGCTGGGATTATAGGCGTGAGCCACCACGCCTAGCCCATAGTTCATTTATTAAAAGTATAAAATATAATATTGATATGTTAATATTATCTAACCCACTGTTCATATTTTGCCAGCTCTCTCAGTAATGTCCTTTATAGCTATTGTTATGTGGGAATTTTTTTTCCTAGAACTGAAATCCAATTCAAAAATATGATTATTTTGTCTTTTAGTCTCCTTGAATCTGTAACAGTTCTTCAACTTTTGTTTTTTGTGATCGTAATATTTTTAAAGATTAACAGATAGTTATTAGATATAATAGCCCTCTCTTTGGGTTTTTCTGCAGTTTATACATGGTTAGAATTGGGTTATACATTTTTGGGAGGAAAATCACAGAAGCAATGTAACCTCAGAAGGCACAGAATATCTGTGTTGATAACTAGTAATGTTAATTTTAAGGTTATATTTAGTAAATTGATCCACTATAACTTAATTTGAAATGAATTTAATTAATAGGAAACATAAGATAAATGTGGATTGTGGAATATTTGATAAATTAGCTGGTCTGGAGTCTTCAAAAATGTCATCGTCAAACTCAAAAAAGTAGGGAGATTATTCTAAGTTAAAGGAGTCTAAAGAGACACAATAACCAAGTAAATGCATAACCCTGGAATAACAAAAAAACTATAAAGAACATTTTGGGAGAATAATTTGAGAAATTTCAGTAGGGACTATATAGTAGGTAAAAATTTACTAATATTAAATGTCTGATTTGTGCTAATTGTATTGTAGTTATGCAGATACCCAGTTTTACAGAGACATGCTGAGGATTTTTGAAGTGAAGTGTCTGTAACTGATTTTCAAATGATCCTGCTTAAAAAAAACTTTAGGCTGGGCTCTGTGGCTCAACCTGTAATCCCTGCATTTTGGGAGGCTGAAGCAAGTGGATTGCCTGAGCCCGCGGGTTCGAGACCAGTCCAGGCAACTTGGCGAGACCGCGTCTCTACAATAAATCAAAAATTAGCCGGGCATGTTAGCGTGCACTTATAGTTCCAGCTACTTGGAAGGCTGAGGCGGAAGGATAGTCGGAGCCCAGCAGGTCAAGTCTGCAGTGGCCGGGAGTGTGCCACTGCACTCCAGTCTGGGTGACAGAGTGAGACTCCAACTCAAAAACAATAAAATAAAAAACAAAAGTTTTAAAAATTTTTTAAAGTTTGAATACATAGAGAAGTAAAGTAAATGTGACAAAAAGGTTAGCAATTTTATAGGTAAGGTATATATAGGTGCTCATTACATTATTTCTTTCAGATTTTTTAGTAGGTTTGAAATTTCAAAATAAAAACATTTGATAAAAAAAGCTAGTAAAAAGTGAAAAAAGGGAGAGAAATCACAGTAGTAAAAATATAGACTTAGAAATTGAAAATAGGTTTGTGTGAATATAGGGACGTAATTAAATATTCATGCAAATTTATTCAATCCATTTAGGTTGAGCTTAATGGAAAAATGTAAAGGGAGGTCGCTGTGCTAAATTTCCTGTTATGTTTTTCAGTATCGACTATGGTCGAAGAAAAAGAAATGCTTTTAGGATTCAGGTAGAAAAAGGTGAGTCTTTTAGTGTTAGAACTAAATTATCAATACAATTATGGAAAGAATTGTTTTAGCTCATGGCATTTTTCTTTGTTTCAGTATTTAGCATAATTAGTAGTGAGAAAGAACTTAAGAGTCTAACAAAACTAGAAGGTGAACATTTGGCAAAAAGAGCAAGACAAGGAGAAGAGGATAATGAGTAAGTATACAAAATGAATTTTTTTCCTAAAACATGAACCTAATCACATTACATTTCTATTTATAAAACTTTCAGTGGCACTACATTGCCGCCAAGGCCATGCATCATACTTTTGTAACTCCCCCAAACCTTTACTTCAGCCATATTGAATGCTCACTATTTCCCAAAGAGCAGATTCTTTCTT